GTGGCCTTGCAGTTTATTTTTCCCTTTTCTCCCCTTTCTAATCACTTGTATGCGTTATAATAGTACTTTAAAAGATTCAATTTTGACTCGAGAACAGTGTGTAATGACACCTGAAGCTTAGTATTTGGTCAAATGTGAATTGAGTGCTTTCGATGAAAAGAAGCGACTCTGTCATGGCATCCTTCCTTTACTATTTTCAAAGATGATGTTTTTGTTTGGAAATTTATTACTTGTTTGATAATTGGTAAATCGTCCTTTCTTATTCTAATTTAACGAAAAACGTAAATTATTCCAGGAATGACATATAATTTTTGCTAAAGGTCTTACTAATATTTTTACTTGTTAGTAGGTGCAATTTGATAGTTCATCCGTTGCTTTATGATAGTGCCTGTTGCAATGTGAATTATGAACCCTGATCTGGGATGTCAGTTCCTGTGACTAATGATTCCGCCAAAGAAAGTTGAATCATCTGTGCAGGATTATGGTATAATCAATAATTTATGCTTCCGTTATTTTCCCCTTCATATCAACATGGTCAAATGCAGAAATCCCCAAGTGGAAGAAGAGGGAATGTGTTGTTGCAGTGCAAATATAATAGCTTGCTATTTGATTAAAATTCATTCTTGGCTTGATGCATGAGTGAGAATTTTATGACAGTTCAAATTAAAGATTAGCAAACAATGTCTCTACTTCTTGCAGTATTCAGTGCTTAATCTTAATTCATTTTCTAGATTTGTGTGGGGACTGTGTTGAAGGCTTTGCTAGACTGTCATTTACTCCCAAATATTTAGTCCTTGCAAAAAATTTTACCCTTTGGCCTAACTTCCTACAGTAAAAAAGATCACAGACACTAGAAGCACTCGATTCAACAAATTTATATTGTCAAAATGTAGGTTGTTGACCACAATGGAAGGATAACAGCTCAAACTTGTTCCTTTAAGAAGCGAAGTGATCATGGAAACAATGGCCCAAATAAAGAATCAGATAAACTAGATGGTGCCTCTGGATTCTTCTCATCAAGTGCACTGACAGCTGAAGATGTCCAGAAGAATGTGGAAGAGCTGAAATTGTTGCAGGAACAATTGGATGACCTCCACAAAAAGCTGCTGGAAAAAGATGAAGCTTTAAAATCTTTAAAAGACTCATTGAACGAGATGAATGTAGCTAATGCTACAGTCAATGAGTTGAAGGAGCAACTTATGGAGAAGGATTCTTTGATTACAAATGCAAATTTGCAACTGACTAATACAAAGGTATATATCTTGGCACACATATGCTGTCATTCTGTTCATTTTTCACCTGGATGGCTTTAGCCATTTGTTGATTGGTTTGATTAAATTATGAGATCCAGCTATGAGCTATCTATGATGGTAGGCATACCTTTAGTAGTTTAATTATCTCCAACTATTGTTGATCTCCCACTTCTCATTTTGTAGAGGTGAAATTGTGTTTGCTTTGTCATGAAAACTCTATTGCCAAACATTGAGTTGATGGGTTAGTTATGTGCATTTTCATATATTGCTTTTTCTTGTTATCAACTTCTAATATTATTCCTTTCCAGCTTTTATCAATTTGATATTCTATCTGGCTTTTACATTCTATGCCTATCAAGCATGTATTATACATTCATTATGCGCTAGTGAAGACTAATTTGATGTTGCTATTGCGTACATTCCATGTGCAACTTTATGAAGATTGAAGAGTATATAAATGGTATTCTATCTATGTGGTTTATATGTCATGATTATCAGGGGAGCAAAATAATTAGTTAAAACTAATAGTTGCTCTGTATGTAAAATTTGATATATGACCGTTCATTCACTGTCAGGCAAAGATGTTCTTGCCGGATGAACCGATTTTGCCAGAGATATTTGAAAAATAGCTGCATATTGTAAGAATTTTTTTTACTTATTGTTTAGTCCAACAACCAGACTTGATTATGTAGCAGAAGAAAAAGACACAAAATATTTTTTGCACTACATGGAAAGACATAATTTAACAGAAATGCCTGCAGAATTTGTTTCTGTAGAATACATTAAAAGATGGAAGCATGATCCAACATGCAACATAAGTAGATGTTATCTTGGACTCAAACTTGATGAAAACTAGTGTTAGTATTTGAAGCCAGTCTATTGGTAGCAGGAACTTATTTTTCTTTCTGCCATAGCATCCCAAAAAATCATTGTATTGCGCTAATAGAAACAATTATTATTTAGGAGTTCATAAATTAGCAAATTTAGGGTTGTGATACTTCATTGTCACTAATCTAATTCTGTGTCTTCTTGCTATTTTTTACTAGTAGGTCACCATGCTACATGATAGATCTCTCTCTCTCTCTCTCTCTCTCTCTCTCGTGTGTGTGTGTGTGTGTCACAGAGAGAGAGAGAGAGAGAGAGAGAGTTTAGGGGAACATGTATTTCTCCGGATTGACTGACAAGGTGTAAATTTTAGCCTGCAAAAGGTATTTGGTAGAGGCTCGTCTAAGAGTGCAATGCAACAGTGGGGAGGCACCACTTTTGGCACAAGAGGATCCTTAGGCTGGGATGTAAGTAATATGCAACACTGGAGTGATAGTCTCTGGCCATTTATGTGCTTCAAAGCATGGTGATAGTGTGAACCACATTATTTTTGTTTGGCTTCTATCTGGTAGTGTTTGTATTCTTCAAAAAATTGTCTCCTTGGAATTACATTCACAATATTCTTTTCGTCATTGTTCATTCTATGATTCTTCTGGACACAAGTCAGAATGCGTTGTTAAAGCTTAACTAGACTTCCATTGACGATCTACCATCTCATTATGAACTTAGAATCATGAATGTTCATAAAATACCTTCCTTAAAATGCCTATTTTATTGAAATACAGAATAGGCTTGATGAAAGGCTAGCAGCTTTGGAGAAATTAGAGATGGAAGTCACAGAGTCAAACAAAAAAGTTGAGGAACTTCAGGGAATTCTGGACTCTACAAGTTTTGAGATTGCTGCATTTACCAAGTTATTTGATGAATTATCAAATACATGCCCAGATGCATCTCTGGACGACAACAATACTTCTCAACCCATGGATATGTTTCCATATATAGTAAGACTGTATTTCTCAACCCGTTGATAAGCTTCCGTATACAGTTATTATTTTCTAAATCGACCATTATTTAAAATGAAAAAACTTACTATTTTTCACAAACATAATTAGGTTTGCTTTGAACAGGATGACATTGACGAGAATGGCATGCAGAAGATGGAAGAGGCAAGAATTGCCTATGTTGCAGCTGTTGCTACTGCAAAAGAGAACCCCAGCGAAGAGTCCATAGCCGCCGCATCGGAGGCAAGGGTCCACCTTCAAGCTTATCTGTTCAACTGCCACTAGGAACTTCACTGCTACATTTGTCAATATGTAACTTAAAAGTTGTGTGTTGATGGAAATATGGAATCTGTATGAACATTTTTACACTTCTTCATTTTGCTGTCTACAAATTGCTTCTCAATGAATGTTTATGATGAAGCTCTGCTTAGGCCTCTTAAGGAAACTATTGCTGGCTCGTGGTTGCGTGATTTTATATCCTGCAATGCTTACTCCAAGAAGAGATTGTATTGCCTCAGGAAGTGGTGAGAGAGGCCTTTACAGAATCTTGGGAAAGTCTCATATGATGATGACTGTTGCCTTTGTCAATGAGTAAAATCTGCCTTTCAATCTATTAAAATACATTCGATTGATGTAAGTTTAGGTATTATACTCTTCCTCTCAAACAGTGGATGTTATGATCATTGAAACTTGCAGAAACCCTTTTATCCCAATCTTCTGTTGCTGTGAGCTTTATCCTCTGTAATCAAGCTGACAATTATCGTATTCCTCCATTTTTAAATCATCAAAATTGAATATTATATTTAATGAATTTTTTTTAATATGCATATTTGCCCTAACATATCTTAATATTTTTTTATTTGTATTCCTCCATTCATTTCTTTGACATCCATCCATATAACTTAAGCTAATCATGGCTAATTATATTAGCATATAATGCTGACTTAAAAATGTACCAAAATATAAAAGATCTATAATATCATTATTTTCTTATAATTATAAATATTTTTAATATTATTTAAGGTTTGAACTAAAATACAAATGATACTTAGCTGCAATTATTATTTTTTGCATATATATATATATGCATGGATTTTCTATCTTATATATATATATATATATATATATATATATA